TGTGTGTGTGTGTGTGTGTGTGTGTGTGTGTGTGTGTGTGTGTGTGTCTTATCCTACGAAGTCACAGAACTGGGCAAGCACGACTTTCTAGTGGGCACCCACAGTGAGCCCTTTCGAGGCATCTAGACCTAGAGCCCTAAAAACCCTTTCTCGCACCACTCTTCAGCAGCAGACAGACAGACACCAGAGCCTGGAGCGCCACAGAACCAGCACTGGGTTTCCCTTCCTCCTCTTGGTCTGGGGTCACGGTCAACAAGCCATGCTTAACTGTGAGAGAAGCTGGTCTGTGGATGTCCCAAGGAACAAAGTGGGGGATTGCTGAGGACGAGGAGGGCAGAGAAACTCCCTCGTTTGCTAAAGTTTCCTTTGTCCCTATTCATCCTGCTGCCAGGTGACCCAGGAACTACCACTCGGGACAGCCCCCGCCTGATGGTATGAAAGAGGAAGCCTTTGGCAGAGAGCAGGACTCTGGGAACAGTAGGCACTCCCCCACACGTCATTTCTCCCTGCCCTTCTACCATTCCAAAGGCATCCAGCAAGACACACAAACTGTCCCACATCCCAAGGACCAGAATATCAGAGTGGCTCCAAGTTTAAAGACCAGCTCTCCTAATCTCTCCCAGCAACTGCAGGACAGGAGAGTATGACCACCTCATCCCACCTGGCATTCTTCCAGACTCAAAGATGGTGGCTCCACAAGCCTGAGCCAGAGTCGTCAAACCAAACAAACAAAGACTGAGTGCTCAGCCCAGAACCCAAGGAAGGAGGCCGGCTTCTATCATTGCCAACACGTGTGTGCCGCTGGAAGCCCTCACAAGGGCAGTACGTCAGAAAAATAAACAAAAACAACACACAGGCCGAAGAGGGAGCGCAGTAGCGAGTGGGCACACTTCAGTTTCTTCCTTATTTAGAATATAGGAGAGGCTACCAACGGAGGAGTCTTAAGTCAGTCACAGTCAACAGCCTTTGACAGCATTTTGAGGGTTTGTGTGTGTGTGTGTGTGTTGTCCAGTATTTATACCCTAGAGCTGCTGCGGAGGGACAGCACAGCAGGGGTGTTCTCGCTCCCTCTCCCCCTTCCCGCCCCATCCCTCCACCTCTCCCCCTTCCCGCCCCATCCCTCCACCTCTCCCCCCAACCCCCCTCTCCTCTCTCACACACACATACACGCACATACACACGCACACACACACACACACACACACACACACACACACACTTTGGAGATGAAGAAGTAAAGGTCAGAAGTGTCCTGACTTTTTGACACCACCAGGCAAGGCCTGGAGCCCAGCTTGCTGACAGCACCTCCGTTTCTCTAAGTCATGCCTACCCAGAAGGTGGAGCTCCAGCCCAGAGTAGAGGCCGGTGGGGAGCATGCGGTGGCAGCACACTGGGTCAGGCTCCAGCTTCTCCAGTGTGCAAATGGGCAAGGGAGGGGGATTGGCCACCATCAGGGAGCAAAGGGAGGTGTGGGGTGAGGTCAGCCCTGAGAGGTTTTATGATAACAATGACATGCCTGGGCGGGCACACTGGATGGCTGTGGCCACGCATGAACCATATCCTCACAGCTTTCAATCTCTTCACTTCAGGGTCACTTAGTGCACAGCCATGAGGGCTGGCAGAGAAGCCAAGTTCATCCCAGAGCCTCTACCCTCAGGCTGATATCTCCATTCTGTCACTTCCTGTCCCCATCACAGGACCATTAGGGGACGAAACGCTAGCGAGTCACACACTGGCTCTGTGGTTTCCACACAGCAGTAGCCACGCCACCTCTACCCACACTTCATGACCACCTCACGGGACGGCACACTGTCTTGTGCTCAGAAGGCAGGCACTGGGTGCACCAAGCAGACCAGACTGTGACTGCCACGTTAGACCCCTGATTGAAGAAAAAACCAGCAGAGAAAATACACAAAATGGGAGCTAGACCATCATGACTGAGCCCGTCCTGATGAGCCCTTAAACAAACAAATGTCAGTGCCATCGACCAGAGGGCAGAGTGGCGTCGAAGCAGGGCACACTACCTGAAGCTGCAGTCCTCAGAGGCCAGGTCGGCGTCCTCTCTCTGGAGGGCATCCTTCCAGAAGGCGTGCTGCAGGACTCCCTCCCACGACAGCCTTTAGGGAACAGGGCACGGCTCGTTAGGGGATCCAGCCCTGACCCAGTGTGACATCCTCTCCGCCCCACAATGTCACCTCTGGAGCTGCTCTATGTCACTCTTTAAAGAGGAAATTAACCCCACCTTAATGGTTATAAAACAAAACTGAGAATTTGGAGTTTCCAGTTCAGAACTCTTAGAATCCACCGAGCCTAATACAAAAGGTCTTGGGTTTTCCAACCAATGTAGGAAGAGACTCCACCAGCAATTTGAAATTTTAAAGTAAATCACTAATTGTCAAATTACAGTTCTGTCCCCCATTGTTTTACTACATGAGCAAGCTTGTTTTAGCTGGTTGCTCAGGGATGCTGGGGAGCCTTCGGGAGGAGGGGCCCGGCTGGCAGAAAGAAGGCCAAGGGGGTTGGCGGATAGGCCTAGGCATTTCATACCCTGGTCCCATTCCTCGTCTGCTCTCTGCTTCCTGACTGCGGACACAATGTGACCAGCTGCCTCACGCTCTGGCTGCTCTCCCCGTGCCACCATGAAAGCCTCTGTCCCTTCCTCAACTGTGAGCCCAAATCAAGCTTTCTCCTTTACTTGATTTTCCAGGTGTCTATCGCTGTGGCAGACAGCATCTCGATGGAGCTGAGCCCATGACTGTCCACGTGTGCACTGCACAGAGCTCAGTGGAAGGACACTCCCTCCAACATCCAAAGAACATAGCAAAGAGAGAGGGGAGCCTGGAGAGGAAGCAGAGGAGCAGGAGGTGGAGGGGGGAGAGAGAGAGAGAGAGAGAGAGAGAGAGAGAGAGAGAGAGAGAGAGGTGCAGGTTGTATTCATTTGTGATCACTGCACAGGAGGCTCGGGAGAGACCGACCTGACGACCTGAGCCAGACATGGAAACCCTCATCTAAAAAAAAAAAAAAAAGAGGAAGAAAGAGGGGGGAGCAGGGAAGGACTAGGGGAAGCTCTGTTGGTGCCCACATAAAGGAGAGTGGGCCTCCACTTCTCACCCACACAGAGTGTCCGCACCTTTTCTGAGGATCCTTCTGCAGGAGTCCACTCAGCAGATTAACAAAATCTGAAGACGCTTTGGGGAAGGACGAGTCTGTGAACAGATAATTTTCCCAAAATGAAAAGGCAGTGAGAGGGGCCCGTGGACACCCACCTTACGTTACTGTCCATCAGCAGCATCTAAAGCCTTCACACTGTTTAACAGATGGCACCGAACCCATAAACCATGGGACCGCCCGCAAGTCACAGAGGACCAGTGTGCAGAGCAGACACAGATCTTTGACCCGGATCAGGGCTGGTTGGCTGAACCTGACTCTCAGAAACACTCCTAACTCGGCCAGCTTTGCCCTGTGTTCCCTGTGACGCTGACCCTGGAAACCCCTCCCTTCTCTGGAAATTTTCAGCAGGGAAATAGCGATAATGGGCACCGTAACACGACACAGCTACCCCCGTTCTGAGGACCTCACGAGGGGCACGCACTGGGGCTGGGCACCGTTTTGTCGGGCATCAAGACACACAGAATACGGCACTAAAGCCACAGTCTGAGGACAAGCTCTGTGCCATGAGCTGCCAGCTGCTTGGAAGAATTTGTATTCACCAATAGGAGAACTGAGAAATGCCCCATTTTTTTTTTCTACTGAGAAGCAACCCTAAAATAATCACACAGGACAGGAACATGTACATGTATACACGTGCGTGTACACACACACTCATGCATGCACAGACACCTTTAAATCTTTACACAAACTTCTTGTGTTAATTCGTGTTTTTAAATGAAGGAAGCTGTTAATATGGCTTGGTTTTCCTTTCAGTATCAAAAACAGAGAAGAAAAACTGTGCTGATTGAAGCAGCTGTCACATATAGCTTTGATGGCTGTGATTGGTGGACACAGCCTGGGTGAAGGTGGGCTTCCGGTCAGGTGAAAGTGGGCTTCCGGTCAGGGAAGGTGGTTAGCTGTGCTCACCTACCCTTTGGGACCGGAGGCAATGGGTCTTCATACAGAATCTTCTCAACTAATTCTGACATGGTTTCTGAGAAGAACGGGGGTTTGCCTGAAATCAAATAAACTTGCAGAATCAGTTTACCATTCACACCAATCCTGACCTTAACTGCAGGAACCCGACGGGAATTTACACCATCATAAATCCAAGATTTACGTGATTTGTGGGGAAAGGCAATGCCTGGCTAGTACACCGGGTTATGTACGTCCATCTTTCTCAAATGCAAAATTAATTTCCCAAGTCCATGATCAAGTTCCCATAGGGTTAGCACCATGATGGAGGGTCCTGCCAACCCCCAACACAGCAGAATCACCGGCTGGCAAGCCACAGTCAGACTTTCTGCTGCACTTCTCCCACGGCCAGGCACACTGCCACAGTCAGACTTTCTGCTGCACTTCTCCCACAGCCAGGCACACTTGCACAGTCAGACTTTCTGCTGCACTTCTCCCACGACCAGGCACACTTGCACGCTGCAGACAACTGTGAAGAATCGCTCCAGGTCGGGCTGCTCAAGAGTCTCCCTGAGTCAAGCAATTAAGTTGAAATTGTTTACACAAACATTGTCTAAAGCCAGTTTTGTGATACCTGCTAGGTCAGGCCCTTACGAACGACACACTAAACTCATAGTTTCTTCTTGGTTTTAGCATAGTTTTGATTTTATAATGAACCAAACACAAACCTGAGAACATTTCATAAAGCAGACAGCCCAAAGACCAGAGGTCACTGGTGACCGAAAAGTCGGTTCCCTTTATGATTTCTGGTGCCGCATATATTGGAGAGCCTGAAAACCAAAGACGAGAAAGAAGGGCTCAGCCAGCGATCCTAATTATTTCCAGCATGAAGAGCCCCTGAGTTGGAAAGACAAGGAAATGTAGCACGCACCTTAAGGATAGAACCGCTGAGAGCCGGGGAAATGACCTGAGTTCAATCCCCCAGACCCACACAACAGAAGAGAACAGACTCCTTCAGGTGCCCTCTGACCTCCATTCACTGTGACACAGACATGTCCACATATCCACCTGTATGTGTGTGTGTGTGTGTGTGTGTGTGTGTGTGTGTGTGTGTGGTGTGTGCCTGTGTCTTGTGTCTGTGTGTGTCTGTGTATAGTGTTTGTGGTGTGTGTGTGTCTGTGTCTGTGTGTGTATGTGTGTGTGGTATGTGTGATGTCTGTGTGCGTCTGTATGTGTGTGTGCCTGTTTGTGTGTCTGTTTGAGTGTGTGGTGTGTGGTGTGCATGTCTTTTCTGTGAGTATCTGTGTGTGTGTTTGTGTTTATATGTGGTGCATGTGTATATGTGGTATGTGTGCATTTGAGTGTGGTGTGTGATGTATATGTGTGTGTGATATGTGTGTCTATGTGTGTGTGGTATGTGTCTATGTGTGTGTTTATATGTGGTGTGTGTGTGTGTATGTGGTACATGTGTGTGTGGTGTATATGTAGGTTCATATGTGTTAAACACAAGCAGAAGCGAGATGCTGACTTGGCATTTGGTGACCTCCTTGGTCACTCTTCTCATTTTTGGGGGAGGGTCCCTCACTGAGCCTGGAAGTTACTGGTTTGACCAGACTGTCTGCTCAGCCAGTCCCAGGGATCCTCCTGTCTCCGCTCCCCTGGACTGGGATTACAGATGTGTGCAGCCACACCAGGCTCTCTTCACATGGTTTTTCAGGGCTAAACTCAGGTCCTCCTGATTAACCAGCAAGCACTCTACCCCTGAGCCACCCTAGCCACAAGCATAGTAACCCTGATGTCGCTGGCACAATCTCACCATAAAACCCTCCTGCTAAGAACATGCCCCAGAAGACCTGTCTGGAATGCAAAGATCAGCCCTCGACAGGGCTGAGGCCACTGAAGAAGTCACAGGGGTGTGCCAGGCACGTTCTGAGAGCTGACTGAGCTCTGCTCTGGTGGGTGTGACAAGAGGCCCCTCACTAGTGACACCGGCAGAGCCGCAGAGACACTTCAAGCCGAGGATGAAGCTACTTTGTCTCTGTCCAGAATTCCCTGCTGTGTTTCTCAACACATGTGTGAGTGGCAAAGCAGAAAGCCCACGCTGTCTCCTGAGCACAGGACTGCGGTTATGACACCTGTGTGCCCGGCCCCTCACCTCTGACTCGGTTTCTCGTGCTTTTCCTCGGTGTGTTGTCCACGCTGTCACCACCTCCTTCTTCTGCCGCCACCACGGCAAAGAACTCCTCCAGACTCTCTCCTTCCACCTTTGCCAGGCAGAAATTGCTGAACTTCAGTGTTCCAGGCCCTTCCAAGAGTATCTAGGAAGGGGGGGACAACATCAGGGTCTTCAGAGACAGGTTGTGAGGGACCACTCCTGACAGCGCCCGGGGCACTGAAGCCTTCTTGCCTTGTCGTGGCTCAGAAAAATGCTGACATGCTATGCTTTTAAAAAGAAGTCAATTAACTACAGAAATAATCCTGAGAGTTGTGGCTTAAACAAAACTGAGGCACTGGCCCCCAAGAAAAGCCAGCCAACATGGCAGTCTAGTAACAGCAGAATCAGAGCTGATACTGTCCACTTGCAGACACCCTTGGGCTGTGGGAAAGTTAAGAAGGTGGCTTTATGCAGATAAACGGTAAGATGGCCAGCACTCTGTGCCCTCCAGTTCTAAGTCCACAAAGTCAGACAGCTGTGAATCAGAATAACTGGGAGGGATTGTCTACTGTGCACAGGTGAGGTAAGGAGCCACTTCATCTGCTGTGCACAGGTGAGGTGAGGCAACCACACCACTTGATGTGCAGGCCTGGTGCATTGTGGGATGTGGGTATTGGACAGGGCTCAAGGCCAATCCCCAAGAACACACAAAGTGAGTGAGGGTCTGGAGATCCACCTGCCCGTGGAACTCTGCTTCTCATGCATACAGCAGAGAAGGCAGCGCTCTGCTTTTTCAGCTCTGGGGATTCATGGAAGTCTGGCAGATATAGAGCTGGAACTGACTCGAGTTGGTCAACGCCCTGTGTGATCAGAAGTTGGCTAAGGATTGTTGAACCAGCCCAGGAAGCTGCATCATTTCCAGCCACATCATTGAAAATGCTGCTGGATGACAGTAATGGGGCTGGTGATCCTCTATTGAGAGCAGTTCAGAGTTGTTCCTAAGTCCCAGACACTAAAACTCCTAAAGGTGTCAGGTGGCCCACCACAGTGGCCTCGAACCTCACCATCAGCGTCCCCTGGAGAGCTGTTCAGACACAGACTGCCATCCAGCATGTCCTAACTCCACAGCTCCAAAGTTGTTCGAAACAGCAGTCACTGGTAACACACAGGCTAAGGGTGGGCCAGTGTTTCAATAAAACTTTATTGGCATAAACAGGAACCCTGCCTAACTCTCCCCAAACCTTGGTTTTCTATAGCAGTTCACACAACAGACCCTCCTGAAAAGGTCTGCAATAAACACCATGGAGCTCTAAATAAACCACAGCCTCGGCCCATAGCCCACACCCCCGCACCTGCTTGCACACAGCAGTAAACGAAGAGGTTTTTTAAAGTAAGTAAAAACTGTGTGAGTTTTTTGTGGGTGGTGGGGTTGTTTGAGGTTGTTTTGTTTGTTTGTTTGTTTGTTTTGAGACAGGGTCTCAATCTATTGCCCAGGCTGTTCTGGAACTCATCACATACATCAGGTTAGCCTGAACTTATGACAATTCTCCTGCCCCGACCCTCAAGTGCTAGGCCAGCAGGCCGCTCCGAGTAACCACTTTGCTGCTGTTGTTTCACTTTGTTTTGTTTGTTTTTTGAGACAGGGTTTCTCTGTGTAGTCCTGGCTGTCATGGAACTTGCTCTGTAGACCAGGCTGGCCTCGAACTCACAGAGATCTGCCTGCCTCTGCCTCCCAAGTGCTGGGATCAAATGTGTGCGCCACCACCACAAGAAGAGAAGTGGTATTTCTTAATATGTGGAAATTCTATAAAATTCAAATTTTGAAGTCTACAAACGACACCCACACATTAGCATACTGCCCCGGCTGTTTTCCGCACTGCAGCGACAGTTGAGTGGCTGCAGACCTGGGCTAAGTTTGTGAATATTTTCTTTCAGCCTCTGCTGCTTTGGTTCCCACCCTTCCTTTTTAGTTTCTTCTTCATACACAAATGTCTGGCACAGCAAAGCCACAAACTGAACACTCAGCTTTCACTTTGCTACACAAAGGACAAGAAACACTCAGGCCAGTGATGTGTGCAGCCCCTAAGCGTACGGCTTACACAACAGTGCTGGGTGCCCTGTCTTAACACGCTGCAAACATCACAGACAGAAAGGAAAGCCACAGAGTGAGGAGGACACTTGGGCAAGATTGCACATGGCTTCCAGAGTCAGCTGAGCAGGCTCACTGATCTTGAGGACAAACACCAAGGCTTCTGCTCGTGGAAAACAAAGCCCTATCCATGCGGTCAGCAATAGTGCACAGTCAAGTGGCCACTGTCAAACCAATGGTGTGGCCAGAACTGGCGTAAGCAGGATTTAAGGGCTAGGAGAGCATCATACAGGGCCCATTACTCACAAAGTGAGAAGTGAAAAATCAGAGACCTCTGCAGCAAAGGAGGAATCTGTCCCAAAAGCTACGTAAATAGGCAATATACCTAGATACTACAGGTTTCCTTTATTTTATTGAGAAGGCCCTTGGAACTGAGGCATGAGGCATTAGGAAGTCAGAACTCAGAAGTTACCTTCCCAGGAGTAAGGTCACAAAAGAGGATGCCAAGCCTGTGGAGATGGTGCAGCCCCATGACCAGGTCCACCCCAAACTCTCTCACAACATCTTCTGGGAGGTTCTCGTCCTGAGCAATCACAGTTTCTAAAGAACCACCTATGAGAAATGAGCCCGGATCAGTCACATCGGCCATCCGTCATGGCCGCCCTCTGTCATGGCCGCCCTCCAGCCAGCATTCTCACACGCCCACCTGTGCACAGCTCCACCACCATCCAGAGATGATTGCTGGTCTCGTACCATTCATGGAAGGTCACGATGTTCTTGTGTTTGATTTCGTGGGTGAGACGGACCTATAAAAACACACAGCGTTCACTCGGCATCTAAGTGGAAAAGCAGACCAAGTGTGGGGTTTATCTGCAGCCATCAGAGGTGCTGTCTCTCAAGGACAGCCACAGGGATAGGCTAATGACCTGCCACCTTAGGAATCATCACAAGTGTGCCAGTGCTAACTGCAAAGAACCTATTTACAGCAAATGAGTAAAAGTAACATCAAAATAGCCACCACTGCGGGAGGGGCCAGGGTTCTGTGATACTGTGATAACGTTAAGTCCCAATACATCCGGTGGAGTTTGGAAACATCATCATCTGAAGACAAACTTAGCGTGTTTATATCACCCACAAACCGGGCTCAGCCTCACCAGCCCTAAGCACACTCAGGCACGACGTCTACTTTGCAGTAAACTGCGTCATAGCTCTCGTATGCACGCGAGTGTTCTGTAGACGTGATAGAATGAGAAAAGAAACAAAGTCTAGAATGTGCCCTGAACAGTCCCCTCCTCCCCATGACTGCACGGCCGATGAGAGCTGTGGACGTCACCTCTGCCTGGCCATGCAGGACAGACGACCCCAGACCCACCTGCCTCGGCCGCCTGTGCTCCCCACCCGTCCACACAGCCTATCCCTTTAGTGCTGCCAAAGGTTCCCGGTGGCCAACCTGACATCCGCTTCACCTGTGTTCATGGTAGGAGAAGCCATGGGTGGCCCAAGCCAACCCCGTGCCTAGCCGGGAATCGTTGCCTCGCCTCCAGTAGACAGCAGCAATAAATTACTAAAGATCACTGGCCCAGTCGGGCTGTGGTGGCTCTCACCTTTATTCCCAGCACTCAGGAGGGAGAAGCAGCCTGGACTACAGAGCGAGTTCTAGGACAGCCAGGGCTGTTCATCACTGCTGAGATTTCTTAGGAAACTTCCACAGGATTTTATTCAAGATGCCAATCCCAAGCAGACCTCCTCCCCCACCCCCAGCAAACTGCCAGGGCAGGCGACGCTGAAAGACCATGATATTTCAAGTTTCCACCCTAGCCTCAGATGCTCACCCAGACGCCATCCCTCCCTCTGCTCCTTCCTTACACAGCAGGCAATACGAGCAAGAGCTACCTTCTCCTCCCATCTTGAACACCCCAGCTCCAAAGTTGGTCTCCAATGAAGCCTTGCCTTGAAGGCCGTTCCCCATCAGCTGCACAGCTGAGTTCTCTCTTCGCCCTGCATCTCTTTCCCTGACACCCCAGGCCCAGGCTGCCATAGTCATCAGTTCTAGAGTTTTCTCCACCTCCACTAGGCATGCACTGCACTGCCTCAGCTGTGTCAATGTGCAGAATGAATCTTCTCCCAGCAAATCAGTTAACAGAAGCAGGGCAGAGCCTAGAATACCAGCTCCAAAGAATCCAGGGGCTGTAGTCAGTGGCCTCAGAAAGAGGGGAGAAGCCACTCAGAGTGTGGTTAGCCCACTGCATCTCCACGTTCCGCATGCTGGGTGCTGTCTTCTGCTCTCCCCTGCTGGGTCTCCATCCATCCCTTTATATGCCCTTCGTGTTGTCATGAGAAACCCAGATCCCTTCCACCTTCCCTCACTCTGACCTAACATCAATAAGTACAGTGATGCTCAGCGTTACATCTCTGTTCCAAATGTGCTTCTAGACTAAACTAAAACCCCCAATCTTCCTTACAACCCACTGTGTAGACAATGGGCTCCCGGAAATCAGTGTCAGCCCTGCCCTTCTCTTGGGCTTTGTTCCCCTCTCAGTAACCGGCTTCTGGCCAAATGCCCAACAAAACCATTGCTTCTCCTCCAATTCTTATGTCCTAATAATATCCAAAACATTAGCTCTGCTTCACAAAGGGACCCAGGCTCTCTGCTTACACAACACTAAACCCACAAGATAATCTGGACTGTGAGGAGGGGGTGTCTGCAGACAGGGAGGGGAGCGCCCGGGAGGCTGTGCACAGGCCTTTGTTACCTGAATGGACACCATCGAGCAAAACTAACCTACATGGACAAAACCAAGAGCAGTGGGCTGTGAATGGCCTGTTTTGTCACCATGGGCAGAGAACCAGGAGTTAAAAGTGTACTCTGTGCCCTGTTAAACAGCCAGCAATCTGGGAAGCCGGAGCAGGTATTACCAAGCCCTTTCTTGTCCTTCAGATCAGGTGGTCTTACCTTCTGGCATCTTCCCCCCACACCCTGTGTGTGCAGTAGAAGACAACAGCACAGCCTGCATTCCTTCTCAGTCTCCATTTGGATGGTGTCCAGGTTTACAGTTAACTCAGAGCAACCTGCGGGCAGTGTGAGCAGATTCCTTCCCACAGAATGAAGTCTAACTGTGTTCCTATAATGTGGAATACACACTGGGCCAGCAAAAGGCCTCAGTGGACAAAGGTGCTTGCCACCAAACCTAATGACAGGAGTTCAATCCCTGGACCCACAACCCAAAAGTTGGTCTCTGACCTTGGCAGGAATGCTGTCATGAAAGGGGGTTGCATGCTGGAGTGTGTGTATGGAGGTCAGAGGAGTTGGTCATTTCCTTCCACCGTGTAGGTCCCAGGGACAGAGCTCAGGTTCATCAAGCTTGGTGGCAGGTGCTTCTCCACCTACCCATCTCGCCAACGCTCAGATACCAACCCTTAAAGTAAATAGATCCCTTTGCACCAGAACCAAAAGAGCTGGCAACAACCTACACACACTCTTTGCTCAAGACTGATGGCACCATACAGAGATGGAGCCCTCATTCCAGGATGAAACACACTGAATGTGGATACAGCATGCCCAGTTGCTTCTGCCATCTATCCATCCACCCATTTATCCATCCATCCATCCATCCATCCATCCATCCATCCATCCATCTATCCACCTACCTACCTATGTACCTACCTATCCATCTATCCATCCATCCATCCATCCATCCATCCACCCATCTATCCATCTATCTATCCATTCATCTATCTATCCATTTATCCATCTACCTACCTACCTACCTGAGTGCTAGGGATGAAATCCAGGGCCTCACACATGGTAGGCAAGCATCCTACACCATTCCTTATTATTTGAGACTACACAGCCCAGGCTGGCCTTGAACTCTCAATCCTCCTCTCTGTCTCCAGACTATTGGGAATGCACACTCACATCACCTGGCATTCTGATGCCCCCAGGCAGGTGGAGACACCCAGGACCTACCCAGTTGGTTATTTCAGGCCGTTTGCACTTTTCAGTACAAAGAATGGCCACGAAATTGATTGTCCCCTTCCGACGTCCCTTATACACAATGGTCTTGCTTCCTCTGCCAATCTCCTCATACAGGATGAAGTTTTCCATGTCTGGGTAGGTTTCTCAGCTCTGGTAACGCAGCATCTATAGCTCCTGGAAGGTTAACAAATGATGGTAACAAACACAAGCACCAGAGTCGGCCAAGGAACACGGAAACGTTGCCGCCGATTCAGACGCCACTACCAGTGCCGGAGGAGAGTCGCTGTGATTTGGGTTGTCTGTTTTGTTCCTAAAAAAATGAAAAGAAAAGAAAAAACCCAAAATGTATTTATTTTTATTTTATGTGTAGGGTGTTTTGCCTGCGTTTATGTCTATACATCACATGCGTACTTGGTGTCCTATGAGGTCCAAGGGGGGCATCAGATCCCCTGTAACTGAAGTTACAGATGATTGTGAACCACTATGCGAGTTCTTGGAATCAAACCCAGGTCCTCTGGAAGAGCAGTCAGTGTTCTTAACCACTGAGCCAGTTCTCTAGTTTCTCCCGGACTCCTTTTTATTTTTCAGACAGGGTCTCCTATGCAGCCCTGGGTCTTAGGGTTGCTATTGCTATGGGGAAACACCATTGCTGCAGACTATCTGTTTAACTGTGCAAACCCTGTATCTCAGGGTTGCTATTGCTATGGGGAAACACCACTGCTGCAGAATATCTGTATAACTGTGCAAAGACGTGTTGCTGTTTACCTTGCCTGCCTAAGGCACCTGATTGATCTAATAAAAAGCTGAATGGCCAGTAGCAAGGGAGGAAGTGCAGATGGAACTTCCAGGAAGGGGAACTAAGCAGGAGGAGGAAATTAGGCTGGGGGAAGAAAGAAAAAGAGATGCCAGGAGTCAGTCAGACAGACACGGAGAAAGCAGAAAAGTAGGACATACAGAATGAAAGAAAGGTAAAAAAGCCCCAAGGAAAAACATAGATGACGAGAAACAGATTAAATTACTATGTTAAAAGAGCTAGTGGTATAAGTCTAAGCTAAGGTCGAGCATTCATGATTTATAATAAGTCTCTGTGTCTTTATTTGAGAGCTGGTTGGTGGCCTAAAGAAAAAATTCTGACTACACATTATGAGCAAAAGCAAACTGGGGAGGAAAGGGTTTATTTGGCTTACACTTCAGTATCACTGCTCATCACTGAAGGGAGTAAGGACAGGAACTCCTACAGGGCAGGAAACTGGAGGCAGGAGCTGATGCAGAGGCGATGGGGGGTGCTGTTTATCGGCTTCTCCTCATGGCTTGCTCAGCCTGCTTTCTTACAGAACCCAGGATCAGCAGCCCAGGGACACCTACAATTGCCTTCCCAGGGACACCTACAATTGCCTGTCTACACCCCGATCTTATGGACACATTTTCTCAATAAAGGTTCCTTCCTCTCCCGCGACTCTAGTCAGTGTTAAGTTGACATAGAACTAGCTAGCACACGTATGGATCCTTATTTTTCACCTTGTACAAGGTCAACCCTAAAACAGATCAAATACGTTACTATATGAGCTGAAGCAGCAGCTGCTAGCAAAGTGCAGGGAGAGACTTTTACGGTACGAGCAGAGGGAAGGACATCTGGAAAGAACTCATGCTCGGGTAGAACCATGTGAACTAACAAATGACAGCAGTTGAAAACCTTCCTCGTGAAAAGAACCCCGTCAGAGTGAAGGCAGCTTACCAGGACGGTCTTTGCTATCAACACATCTCACATGAGATTAACAGACAGTTCACAAAAGAAGAAAGACAGATGGCTGATAAATAGACGAAAAGTGTTCAGCATCGTCAGTCTTCAGGGAAATGCAAATTCAAAGAACATTGAGATTCATCCCAGTCTGAAGAGCTGTCACCAGGGAACGCGGTGAGGGAGGAGATTGCAAAGAGGGAGTCTTGAGCAGAGAATGTCAGGCAAGAAAAAACGTTCTGGTTGGGTGGTGGTGGCACACACCTTTAACCCCAGCACTCAAGAGGCAGAGGTAGGTGGATCTCTGCATTCCAGGCCAGCCTGGTCTACAAGTTCCAGGACAGCCAGTGGTACACAGAGAAATCCTGTCTCAAAAAACAAAATAGAAGGAGAAGGGGAGGAAGGGGAAGAGGGAGAAGAAGAAGAAAGAAAGGAGAAATGAAAGAGGAGGAGGAGAGGAAGAAGAGAAACAGAGAAGGAAGTAAGTTAGTTAGTTAGTTAGTTAGTTAGTTAGTTAGCTAGTTAGTTCTGGTCTATGAAGTGCACTTAGAGCTGGGCAAAGAGTCACTGATAGGCAGACAAGGGTCAAGTTCTTGTTTTTCACAGTAAGCCAGTGTGGTCATAGGACATCATTATGGAAGATTCTCAAGAAACAGACAGACCCACCTATGGTACAGCCATTTTACTCCTATGTGAACATATACACATGCACACGCAAGCACACATACATGCACGCACACTTGCACACACTAAAGAGGCTCAGGAAGCACACACAGGGTACTCTACATCTCTGTTTACCACAGTCCTGCTCTCAATAACCAAAATGTAGAATCAACCTAGACACCCATGAATGGATGAATGGACGAAGGAAATGTGTTCTACTTAGCAGTAAGGAAGAATGAAATGACATCATCCTCAGGAAGATGAACTGGATTTGCAGAGCCAGGGTGACCAACACCTGAATGCTTTCTCTCTTGGGTGGAATCTAGCTGTGAACATATACAGCATAGTATATAACCTATATTTAAACAAATACTCTATATAGCACACGGGAGTGGATGGGCACAATAGGGAAGAAAAGGTAGCCTAAGGCAAGGTGAGGTGAGGGCAAAGGGTAGCGAGAGGCAGGAAAGACACGATAACTCATGCTTTCTCTTACATGCAGAAACTAGATTTAAACATAAATGCTGTGAAGGCACAAGAGGCCCCGTGAGGAGGAGGAGGAAGAGGATAAGCAGGAGAGGGTAGTGAGGGCAAATGTAGGCAAAACACAATGATATATGGACAGGAAATGTCATGATGAAGCCCATCACACTGTACTATAGCTTAAAATAGAATTAAAAAATAACATGGGGGGCTAAGAAGATAGCTCAACTGGTAAGTGCTTATTATACAAGTTTGGGGGCTTAAGTTCAAATCCTCACACACACACATAGAAACCCAGAGTGAATGCCGGAGCGAGTAATCTCAGTGTTGTTGGGGCAGAGACAGAAGGACCTGAGAGCTTACTGGCAGGCTAATCCAGTCTCAACAGCCAGTTTCTGGTTAGGGAGAGACCTATCTCAAGGCAAAAGGGCAGATAGTGACGGAAGAAGACACCTGCACACACGGGCACATGCACCAATACGCTCACATGCATGCACCACACATGTGAGCATGTATGCATGCACACAAAAGTAGCCATGTCAAAATCGTATCAATGGACTGGAGAGAGGGCTCATCTGCTAAGAGTACATACTGCTCCTGCAGATGACCTGAGTTCTGTGCTCAGTTTCCACACTGTGTGGCTCACAACCACCTGAAACTCCAGTTCCAGGGGATTCATACTATTTTCTGGCTTCCACGGACACTCAGCAAACACGTGTGTGCATGCATACATACATGATAGATAGATGGACCTGACGAGCCTCTGAGTTTGGAGCTCTAACTTTATTCTGCTGACCCAACCGACCCTTCCTGAGACTAAAAGCTGCAGGCAGGGCCAGCAAAGCTCAGCAGGTACCCCTCCTTACATCATTTGAGACTGATCCTGAAGGATGGAATCCCCTTTCTCCCATCACCTGCCCCACAGGCCACAGGAAGCCTGAAGCATAGAGTGGGGCATTTTCCAACGCAACCACGGACATCAGGCTGGGAGCTCAGGATCACCACCACCAGAGTACACCATGGACATCAACCAAGCTGGAGGCTCACGACCATCACGACCAGCTTGGATTCCGGGCCATAAAGACCCACTGGGCTGAAGGAGGTGGCGACCGAACGTCCCATCTCAGGAGCAGAGAAGCACGAGAGGCCCTGCTCCCGCTGTCCCTGACCTGGAGGAAGTTGTCAAGCCTCTGCCGAGGATGAGGAGGATCAAGGGTGTAACGAGAGCTGGAGCCTCTGCTACCCACCCACCTGTAAGATGGTGGGGACCCGCGTCCCACGCCCTCTGCCTCTCCACAGTGCGGCCGCAGCCTGGACAGGGGGAACAGAGGCACCCAGCGACCAGACCAGCTTCCCAGGACGCGTGGATGCGGCCTCTGCGTCACCATAGCAACCTGCGAGACGCGGGAAAAGGAGCGGGGCCTTGATTGGCTGATCACTACCTACGCAGGACACGGAAGTGAGAAACTTTGCGCGCCCATCCCGCTACAGTAAGGACCTCACGTCCCCTATGGAATCCTCTCGCTAGCCTGAGGGGAGATTGGCAGCTGTGAAGAGACGAGACTAGTGAGCAGTTCTCAGATCTGAGCGCCGAGCATCCCTCGGTGTTTGTGCACCGCCATCCCATCTCCATGACAACACGCAGACGACCGGAAGAGCTTCCGGTCCTATGGGCTGGGACCGGAAGTGAGCATTCTCGGACACACCTTCCCCCAACCCTAAAGCCGGAGTATCCTATCTAGAAAGATCTCAGGGCTAAGCAAGGAGGAAATGTGAGACTCACACTGCACCACGGCGGGAACCGTTGCAGTTTGCAGGCCCTCCCGTCTCCATGGCATCACGCAGGACGCCGGGAGGGACGCGCTGATTGGCTGAGCTTTCTCACGGCCGGAATTAACCGGAGATTGGCATACCTGCAGCTGGTGCCCTCCCCGCAGGCCTGGTGCTATCTCCAGGGGTGGGGTGGAGCCCACCGGTCGCTGGAGATAGCGTACCGAGGGCACGACCGATCGGCCTTCCAAGTCAGGGCGCGCAGTGGAGACTCCGATCCCGCCCGAGAAGGCAGCCTAGTCGTGTTGTTCCTGCCAACAAGCTGAACGCCCCGCAGATCTCGGTGGGACTTAGTCTTTCAATTCTGCCTGATCCCAGTGCATCACATCCTTATTTTGCTGCGTTTCCTACTTAAACAGGGTTTCACCGTGTAGCCCAGGCTGGCCTCCAACTGGAGTCCTCAACACCCCCAATGCTGACAATAACCCGTAAGCGCCACCACACCTCAAACTTCCGTTCCAATGTGGGAGCAAGTTGGCGGTATCTGGCAACAAAGCCCAGTCCCGCTGATCCAGAATTCTACTTAGAGAATCCGGGGTGAGGTGGTGCCAAAGTTCCTTTCCTGAATTGGGAGAGTGTGCAAGGTGGGATCAATGTCTACACCTTCCTCCCAAATTTCTAAGGATAAACCAAAGTATAATTGCAGCTCAACTCACTCTAGAGAACGAGTGAGTTTGTTAGGCTTACTTAAAGAGCCCATGGGCAAAGCAACCCCACTGGAAAGTCTAGTGGCGCTCCTCTTCCCCAGTCTTTGACCCCCACCTCTGCCGTATATCTAGGCCCTCCCCAATATACCTGCTTCACTTGAAGGAGTGACCTGAAGTTCAGGTAAAGGTCCAGAGACCCGCATGTCCCCTCCTGTTGAGGATGCGATGGTCGCTGGCAAGCAGACAGCTCGGCTTATGGAGTTCAAGACAGTTCAAGACAGTTGTGTGTGTAAGAGTGTGTGCTGAGGCCAGATGTCAGCCTTAGGTGTATTCCTCGGAAGCTGTCCATCTTGGTTTTATGTTTGAGACAGGGTCTCTCACCAGCCCCTAGGGCTGGCAGGCCCTCAAGCCCTAGGGATCCACCTGAAAAGATGTGGGTACCTTTTGGACCCTGCCAAGGCACGCCACTAAGCAGACACAGCACTTAGCTGGATGCAAGAGGTTTGCTGCGGGGTGGGAAGAGGGAAAAAGCAATAGGTCACGGCAGAGTGGGGACACGAGAGGGGCAGGCAGACAGGAGATCAGAAAGACGAGAAACATGGTGACCCGTGATGACGTAACTGCCTCGGTAGAGGCAGGCTGCTGCAGCGACAGGAGCTAACACAACCTTCCCACTTTCACAGTCCTAGGATTACAAGCATGCGCCATAGTGTAGCTGTTTATGTGTTTGCTAGGGATTGAACTCAGGTCCTCACGCATGTGTGGCAAGCGCTTTACCAACTGAGCCATCGAACCAAACCCAAAAGGAACATTCTTACACGTCAGACTTGGCAAGCATCACTGTTTCTGTTTTTGCATCTGAGGATAAATTCCTTGTGATGGGTGACATCAAAGGTTTGCCACGTCTCTGCGTTTAAGGAGTAGAATACAAAGGGTCCCACAGACTCATGTTGAGGACTTTCTGTCCATCTGGTGTCACTTTTTATAGAAGTAGTGAAAACATTAAGAAAGTGTGGCCTGGTTGGAGGATGCAGGTCTTTGAGGCATCCCATCCTATGTGCCTTCTCATCTCCCTCTCTGAGCTTTCTGGCCACCACGAGGTAAACAGCCTGCACCACCAACCACTCCTGCCGATTTTCAACCTGGCTGGGAGCCAGAAGCAAACTGTGTATTGTGATGAGCTTCTTTCAAATTATGTCTCACAAGAGTCTGTCACAGTGGCGATTAAAACTAATGCCTTGTTTTTAAAATTCTTTTCAAGCTCAGGAATTTCCCCTTAAAGAGTGGATGTATAAAGAGTGAATATATAAAGAGTGGATGTATAAAGAGTGGATATATAAAGAGTGGATGTATAAAGAGTGGATGTATAGCTTTCTGCTTTTTATTGTTTTCACTTCTGCGTTAGATTACTTAGTCCACCCGGAATTTAGAATATAACTGTATTACTCATAAGAATAATTAGGCAATTATGCTAGCAGTAAGATTGTCCCTCTCTTTAGGAATTTTTGATATCTCCTTCATTATAGCTCCAAATTTTAATGTATGCGTTGAAGTCTATTTCCAGGCTATTACATTTTCTCCACTGAGTTATTTTTGTACTTGTAGGAGAAAGTTCTTAATTTCATCTTTAAATATTTATAATTAAAAAAGGAAGAAAAATTATCTACAGTGGTACCCTTAAATTTGGAGAGCTAAGTAAGAAGTATCGATTGAGCCCAAGAGTTAAGAAGTCAACCAAAACAACATAGTAAGACCTTGCCTCAAATTATTTAAATTATCTGCAGAGGAGAGGCCTGGAATGACCATTAAGACATGAAGGGAAGGCAATGGCTGGGAAACCACGCTGAACCACTGCAGTGCTGAGCGGTGCTAACAGCCAGGCTGTGGGTGGAGAAGAACCTGTTGTGAAACGGTAATAGCAAACATCCTTTGCCTCTGAGAACGTAACGTTTCCGGGGAAAACAAAGTCTGACATGGAGACTACGGGGGTCATCCACGTTCAAACCATGTAAGCACTTGGACTTTTATGTTTACACTTCACTCTTTTGGGGACCCACTATCCAGCTCCAAATAAATACCCCAAGGCTTATTCTTTCTAATAAATACCTGGCCTTAGCTTGGCTTGTTTCTAGTTAGCTTTTCTTTTTCTTTTTTTTTCCCAAGAAAAAATTATTTCCTTATGTACAGGATAACAGATACTTTAAAAAAGTTCAAAACACTTGAGTTTTATTGAAAATAATAAAATACAGAAAAAAACCAGATGCCCATTTTTAAAACAAAATTGACACCATCTTCCAGAATGTTCTTAGTATGGTACCATTCTTGTCACTATTAAAGTTAGGGTCTATATCCAGAGGTAGCTAGCTTTTCTTTATTAACTCATCTACCTTCTGTCTCTGGGCTTTTATCTTTTTCTATTCTATATACCTCTCTTTATTTCCTACTCTGTGGCTCACTGCGTAGCAGGGTGGCTGACCCCTAATGTTCTCTCCTCCTTTTTTCATTTCTCCCCTCTTCTAACTCTTCTCCTCCTATTTATTCTCTCTGCCCACCAGCCCCACCTACCCTTGCTCCTGCCTAGCTATTGGCGGTTCATCTCTTTATTAAACCCTCAGGTGTTTTAGACAGACAAGGAATCACAGCTTCACAGAATTTAACAAATGCAACATAAAAGAATGCAGCACATCTTTGCATCATTAAACAATTGTTCCACAGAGTAAACAATGTAACACATCTTCAACTAATATTCCACAACACAGCCTGCCTGCAATTCCAGTCTTGGGATGTAGATGGGAATCCCAGAGCAAGCTAGCTACCAAGACTACCTGTATCCAAAGATTACAGATGGAAGAGCAATAGAAGACGGTTCCTGACATCCACCTCGGGATTTCACATACATGTGCACACACGTGCATGGTCGCCTGCACATACCTGTGTGCCCACAAACAAAACAAATGTGCACAAATACCCTACCTGAAAATGGAAAGAAAACCCACCTATCTCAAAAAAAGAAAAAGAAAGAAATATTAAAATCTTTGCTTCTTTAGCCTTTCTGAAGTGGGACCATGTTGAGGGTATCAACAGCCCCGTCTTTGTGCAATAGAGTATCAGTTCTCACCTCTGCACCAATGACAGCTCCTGCTCGTGAGCCCCTACAGATCCCTGCCCTTCCCTCAGACCTCCAACCTCTGTACGTGTAGTCTCCTGCCGACCTCCATGAGATAAACTCCTTCAGGTTCCACACACAGGTAAGATCATGCAGTCCTGGAGTACAAGGATATTGACCAACTTGTCATCACCGAACCTGGGGCCACCGAAGGGCTGCCATGGAGGTGGTCCTACGGTTTGATGCATCTGCTCTTCCCACGACTCCCTTTGAGGAGCAGTTCTTGTCAGAAGACTGTGGTAGACACCACGAGCTACAAGGTGCCCTTGAGAGTCGAGCTGCCAATCTACCAAGTGTACTGTATCATGTCTGTTCATGGTGCGCCATGCCATCCCTTCCACGGCCTTGAAGGCTCTAATAAATGGCCTGAGCAGGCTGTTCACCTGTGGTGTGCCTTCTCTCTGCACATGTCCATCCTTTTCTGCCTGCAGCTTCTCTCCATGGGAGCTCATTCTCTGTCACCAGGTGGCTGGAGAACAGCCCTGGGGAGATTACTGTGTGCCTTGCATGGTGATTTGTTGGAGCCAAGCAGGAGGGCTGGATTCTGAGAACAGAAGAAACAGGAGAGACCGGGAGGGGGGGGGAATTGTTGAAGACAAAAGAAAACCACTTCAGAGGAGGCATTAAGGAAGGAAGAGGGAGGGAGGGAAGGAAGAAGAAAGGAGAGAGGGGGAAGGAGGGAAGGAAGGAGGGAGGAAAGAAGAGAGGGGGAGAGAGGAACGAAAGAAAGGGAGAAAGGAAGGAAAAAAGGAAGGAAGGAAGGAAGGAAGGAAGGAAGGAAGGAGATCAATTAGGGCCATTACATTTTCTCCTCTTGTCTCTTTCTCCAGAGCCCTTGGTTTGTTTCTCTGGCACTTGTCAGATGAGTTGGGGAATGGAGAGAGATGGCTCTAGAGAGGCAGTGGGGGTAGTGAGGCATTTGTCTATCAG